AATAAATAAATAAATAAATAACATATAATTATAAATAATTATAATATAACAGAAACAGTAAATATATATGATAAATAGTTGAGACCATGGAGAGTGTGTGTTCAGTACGTATATTGCACTCGCATAGTAGTTATTTATGGGTGAGCTCTTTCTTCTCACATGTGCATCACCTCCCTGGGTTGTTTTAATTACCTATTTTTAATCAAGACCAGTAAGAAAAATGTTACATTTAAATGTATCCACCTTACTTTAAGCTTAACCTTGGTAGCTTGTTTATCTAGGATTCAAAGAACTTTATTTGTCATGTCAGCTCACATTCACGTTTGTAGTATGAAACTAGTACTCAGGTCGCGTTTTAGAAAAAAATGAATAAAAAAATCAAGGTGCACAGGTAGATTAAAAACTTTAATGTTAGAACAACAAATAAAACACACAACAAAAAATAATTTGATCACATAAAAAAAATATAGTGAAAATTAGATTAAAGGAATGATGTCACCTTAACGACACAGCTGTTGTTTTTAACGTGTGAGTTTGCTGAGTTTTTCAGATAACACTGAGATTGTGAAATAAATAGTTTAGTGTTGCAGAACCGCAGCCTTGAAAATTGCAATGAAGTGACTGCTGGTTGCTGTACACGTTTCTTAACCCTATTCAGGACTTTTGGGGTCTTTTGGACCCCAGGCCATTTGGTTTAGGTGACAGGTATTTATTTATTTATTTTTTCATTTTTGAAGATTTTTAAAAAAAAATATAAAAACAGGGACATTTGTCATGCATTTGAAACCAAAAATATGTTAGCTTATCAGAAAATCTGTTTAACATAGTAGAAAAGTCTATAATTAATACCAACAAATATTTTGCACATATTCTTTCTTGAGGTCCATTGGACCCCGAAAGACCTTTTATGTATGGCAACATGAAAGTCCTGAATAGGTTTAATGGGCTGCGTTTCAGTAATTATTTCATACTTGTTCTGGCAACAGAAACAGAAAAATATGTAAATGACAACTGTTTTATTGGGAATCCGGCTATAGCAGTTTTAAATTGCTTGGTTTTACACTTTGAAATGGGTAGCTTTACACTTTCCACAGAGCTCTGACTTGTATATGTAGGATTATCCTCTTGTTGTGGGGACATTGTGGGGAAAAAATTTAATCCTCTGCATCTTTACTGCAGCTTTTGCACCACTGGTTGGATGCTAAAATGCACTTTGGTTGTCTTACTACTTTGTGCAGATGTAGTGAAAATCTCAAATCTAGTCTAATCTTTAGTTTCTCAGATGCTGGGAGTGCATGAAGAGTCTTGTGTTCACTCAGTGAAATTTGATCTGGACGACTGCGGCTGCATTAGGTGTTAGGCAGCACTTTGGTCAGACTTTAACTATTTCACTGAACGCTGTACACAGATATATTGCACTAAACTGTTTACCTTGTGTAAAGTATGCACTTTATAATAACTGCTGTAATCACTTTACCACTGCCATAGTCACTTTATCCAAACCAGACTTTACAAATGCACAGTGCAGAATTTTTATACATTGTGTAGATTTTGGTTAGGGAAGATCGGCAAAGTAAGAATTTCATTGTACAGTGTAACTGTCTGTTTTTCTATGGATATGACAACAAACCTCTTGAATCTCAATCTTGAATCCTACACGCTTGTAAAGCTGGATAAACTACCAGGTTAACTAATTTGTTTGAATAATTGGAATACCTAATGGTTAATTAATAAAACAGTTGCTAATATGTACATGGAAGAACCTTTCTTTCCCTCCATGACTCTCCATGACTACCCCTCTCCTCTCCTTCCTCCCCCTTCAGTGAGGCCCTGTGTGGGTCAGACAGGAACAATATGGCGCCGGGAGGAGCGTTAGCCTCAGGACCAGTCGTTGTCTGAAAGACTGGCGATCCGGCAGGATGAACCTCTGCGCCCAATATCTACGGTAAGCTCGGCGCGGTAACTTCTGTCGATGGCTCCGACGGTAACGGTGCGTCCCGAAACGGACGTTTTCATCTAGCAGGTGGATTGTTTTGTTCGGCTGCTAGCGCTGGAGCTAGCAGTTGTGGGGACCACCCCCTTAGCCTATGTGTTGGCGCTAGCTAGCGCCATATATCAACAAACAATCGATGCCTCCACCGTAAACACGCACTGAGCCAAACACGAGGAATATTTAGTGAAAGTCTGAGTAGCCACAGTCTGATTTGATGTTCGTTATGAAGCTTAAGTTCAATATAGTGTTTACCCGCGTTTCCTTCAGTGTTATTGCTAGTTAGCTTTAGCTTGCTAGCGCCTCGTCTTTCTGCGTATGTCAAGCTAGCATCGAAGCTGCTGCATATTCCATACATGTGATGCTGGTTCATTAATAACCACCAGTCCCATTTAGCTTTAATTACAGCTCAGTTCTAAGTATGTTTAGCTCGGCGTGGAGGTGTTTATTGGCAGTGCTGGACATGGTTTGTGGCGAAGGTTGATTGTTTGTCTGGCCAGATTTTTGGATCTAGGAAGTAGTCTGATCCCGGTACCAACTCTGTCGACATTTGATACGAGCTGCTAAATGTTTAAATGAAGCCACAGCGGAAGGAGAGTGAGAGCAGCATCACTGCCAGGTGTGTAGCTAGCTAGCTGTTAGCTCAGTTAGTCATCCGTGGATTGTCAGTAATGAGGAAGTGCTGTGTGTTACTGGTCATGTTTGGTGCATGTCAAGTGTCCATGCTGTGTCTCAGACGCCTTTTCAGGATGTTGACAGGCTGGGAGTTAAACCTAGAGGTTTAACCTGATAGCTGCACCACTTCCATTAGAGTGAAGTGAACAGAAAGTGTGAGACACTGTCCTGTAGGTAAAGTAAGGTCATCCCACTGTCTTTTAATGCTTAGCCGGCTGGGGATATACATGTGAAAAATGTGTCACGATGAAATAATTAATTTCACTCAATATCAATATTTTTTTTAATGCTTTTTAATAGGGCTGCCACTAATTAATGATTTTTATTGAGTAATCTATTACAGATTAATCAATTAATCAATTTCCCCCCAAAAAAGCAAGATGACCATTTAAGTTTAGTTCATTTTTACAAACTGTGTGCAAAACTGCAGTTACACTGAAAACTTTGACATGATGAAAACAAGTATATAAGAGGGCTTATTTAAGTTAAACTCCTTAAAAAAGTGAAAAAGTTTATTCTGTGTATTAAACAAAAACAACATGGACAAGGTGGATGTTTTCACAGCATGAAGCAGCTCAAGCAACTCGTTATTTCCTTATTGTCTAACTGCTATTTCACTTTGGTGGCAATTTGAAATGCTATGAAAATATAGCCGTTTGCGCAGCTCAGCTGATGTCTTTGTGTTTGTGAGTTTTTTTTGTGCAGTGCAGAGCAGCAGTTTGGATAACACATAGTCTTAAAGGACATACAAAGAGGAAGACGTGAATGAGAACAGCTTTATTGGGGATTCAGCCGTATTGAAATTCAGTATGTGTGAGCACAGAGAACAGGAGAGAAGCAAACAAATGAAAAATGAAATGAAATGAAAAATACTTTATTTATCCCAGAAGGGAAATTCGATAATGTGAAATACTTCTGAGTTCTGATCAAATCTGCTGACTGTGTTGCTGTCAAATATGACAGAAACATCTGTTCATAGCCTAATGATAACTTGTCTAATTACAGCAACTAATAATAAAATGCATATTCATTGTTATTCTGCTACCTGTTGCCATATTTTGTTAGTGATGGTATCAATGTTATTGTGAGAAAGCATTCATACACGCAATAATGTCACTGTTGCTAAATGTGCTTGAGACTGTTAAATGGAAAAATCTCTGAAATACTCGACAACAATAATGCCCCAACATTTTTGATAATCTAAATCATATTAACTTTGAGAACTTTAACACATGATTGGAATGATATAAACGATCAAGAGGTATTTTTCATCAAACTTTCGAGGCCTGATGCCACTACTGCTGTGTTTGAGTGTCTCTGGTGGTCCTGTCTAACCTCCTCTTCTCTGTTTACATCCGAGCAGACAGGCAGAGGCCCTGAAGGCGGACATGACAGGTAGGTTTGCTCCATCCCTTCAAGCCTTTTCCTCAGTGAATGAACGGATACAATCTGTATCTGCACACTGCAATCATACTGGGCTGCTTTGCTTTTCTCATGCAGGCAAATGTTGTGTCTCAAATTGAGGCCTGTGCGTGAAAGAAGTACAGTTTGTTTCTCGTGTTACTTTGCAGTTGAGTCACAGAGCTAAGCATTAGAGTTGAACAAATGAAGACCTTCCTGATTAGCACTGCAGAATCTATTGTTTCAGCATTGACATTGCCATGTGTGCAGTACTCTCACATGCATCATGATCTAATGTTTTTTGTTTTTCTTTTGCTGCTTGATATGAAAAGAAAACTTGCACAGTTCTTATTTTTCATGTCTGATCTGCAAGAAGACTCTGTGCAACATTTTATTTACTTTTGTATTTAATGGTTCTTGGATACACTGAGTTTTGAAGAAAAAAAAGTTTCTTTAGAAGACATGGAGATTGTTGACATGCAGGCTCCACATGTGCACAGCAACATGAGTGAGGAACAGAAAGAATTAGTTGTAAAAAGAGCAGTATAGAAAGATTTCCGCCACAGAAAGAATGTTGTTGACTAAAGACAGGTACTCTGTCAGCAGTGTCTTGCAATTGTTGTCAAGACATGAAGCAACACAACCAATGTGTTTGATTATTTAAATCAGCATCACCAAGCTCTGTATGATGAGTGAAAAGTCAGGTGCAAATGCCATTCAAAGCAAAAAGCTACATCTTGTTGACATCTTGCTTCTGTGTTCACTGTTTTGGAGCCATGATGCATTTATTTTATTGATGAAGTACATTTCATTTTCTTCTGTTTCTGCTGATGTCTCCTCTGTCCTGTAGGTACACTGCCTGCAGTTCAGTCAAAAAATCTTTGAATTTTATTTTTTACAGCATCTGGTGCAGATATTTTATTTTTAGAGTGTCTTTAAATGAGACATGTAGAACAAAGCTATGCTGATGAAACAGAACGGCAAACATGATGCATTAATGATTGTTGGCAAGTTGAACATCACAATAAGAGCAGTATCAGTTTTATTGTCCGAGCATGTGTAAACATGCAAATAATTTGGTGTCTTCTTGCATTTTTAAACTACTTGCATAAAACACAACAGGTTAAAGAAGGAACGCGAGTGTTTGACTCCCATTTACAGCCACAGGACATTTAACATCAAGTACAGTTATTAACTTCAAATATGGATTTACTGACACTCTATATACTTGAGGCAGGTGGATGATAATGCAGTGGAACAGAGAGCAGCATTGCTAGGATGAAATATAAATAGGTGTGTGATATGAAGTGGTTCTGAATTGAGGTTCAAAAGATTTAAATGTATATCGGATTGGTGGCCTGTGAAAAGGAACTTGAATAATGATGTTCATTCTATTTTTTGAGTTTTTGGCTGATAAATCTTGTTATTATGGCAGTGTTATTAAAGAAAACATGCCTCTCAAGCCTGGTTTTGGGGTTTGGCGGGAAAGCTCTTCGGGAGCATGAGTTCTCTCTTTCTGCCATCTTTGGTCATTCAGTGCACAGGTCAGTGATGCAGTCTATGCAGTTAAAAAACAAACTTTTTCTGTCTTTGTATATGCAGTTACCTTTCAGTCGATTCACTTGGTACAACACGTATAGTATGGGATATCACGCCCCGCGTGACCTTACTGAAGACACCTCTATTTACGCCTTTACGGCAGTTGATCTGTGATGACATGTGTGAGGCCCTGCCTACACATATAAATACCTGTCATCACAGTCATCCCTCAGTTCTTACGCTCTTCACCTCGCTAAGAACACCTCTCGGGCTAGCTAGCTACCGCTAGTTAGCTTTGTTTTCTAAGGCTACTGCCAGCTTGAAATTGGTTTAACTGCTTTTGTTGGTGTTAGCCACCGCTACTACTGTAGTGAGTGTGACTGCTCACGGAGCACTGATTTCGAGTTGTCTTGCTTTGTGTGCTTCGTGTCTCGATATGAGCACCAAGCCTAAGTCGAGGAAGAAGTCTTCAGTTCGCCCCTGTCCTCAGGGGTGCGGCTTCTCCCTGCACGACACAGACCAGCACGAAGCCTGTCCTGTCTGTCTGGGTATTGTCCACGCCAGGAGAGCGTTGGCGGACCCTGAGGCGTGCGAGTTCTGTCGCCAGCTTCGGCGTTCAACCCTTGAGAGATGGGTCATGCTTCTGGAAAAGGTGCTGGGCTCCACGGCCGCATGGCACGACCCTCTCCTCTCCCAGCCGAGAGACCCGGCTTTGTCTGAGTCCGACGACGAGAGGGTCCCGGTCGAAGTCCCCGCTGCTAGCTGGGCAGACCATATGGAGTATGTTGACGGGTTAGCCGAGCTCGAGCCGGAACCCTCCAAGCGGGCTGGTCAACCATTCAGTCTGGCAGCCCACCATGATGACAATGACGTGCTGGACATTGGCTTGGACATTCATGGTTTATTGGAGGACGAGGGTCTGTCATCAGGTCAGGTTGCTGCCGCTGCTGTGCCGACTAGCTGCGACGATAATTCCTTCTTCTCCCTGTTTCACAGAGGAGTGGAGAAACTGGAGGTGGAGTGGCCGTCCCCTCCACCGACTCAAAAACCATCACGGTTCTTCCTCCCGAGCCAGCGACGTTTAAAAACAGCCTGCCCATGAACCCAGACTTTGTCTCGGAATTGACCTCGACATGGAGCAAACCACTGTCTACTCGCGTCACCGTGCCCGGCTATGGACAGTATTTGGACTTGGACTGCGCTGAAAAAGCTGGCCTGATTAATCCACCGCCTATGGAGCCGTCCCTGGCTGCTTATCTGGCTCTGTCCCACAACCATGGTGTGGGCGGCCCGCAACTCTCCCGTCCAAGCACTGCAGGTTCTCTGCTTCACAACTGGAGAAAATTTACCGAGCTCAGGCGGGCACAGCCCGTGCACTGAGCTCTGTTCCCCTGCTGCAAACATACCAGGCCTTGTGTTTGTCAGAGCTGGGGTCTCTGATGCCCCCGGACAGCCCGCTGGCACCTCTCCTTGACGAAGTCAGAGTCGCCACAGACTACATTTGCAGCGGTGCAGCACTCTCCCCCGGCAGAGGGATGGCTTCCACTGTTGTGGCACAGAGACACCTGTGGCTGACACTGTCTGATGTCCTGGATAGAGACAGAGCCATGTATCTGGATGAACTAGTCGCCAGTGCGGGCCAGTTTGGTCAATCGCTGGACGCCATCCAGGCGAAATTTGAGCTGAGGAAGATACAGACCGAGGCTCTGCACAGCATCATCCCCAGGTGTGATGCGAAGCCCAAATCCTCCTCCAGCTCTCGCACACTGTAGCTCTACAACCCCCTCCCAAGAAGGCAGCGCCACCCACAAGCCAAGGCTCCCGGCCAGTGAAGCTGCAGCTGCCCGCGCAACCTCCACGCCAGTCTGCTTGAAGTAAGGGCCCACCTCCAGGCCTCCAGTGAAACCTGGCGCCGAGGAGGAAGAACAATCAGTCATCGTAGCCCGGGGACTGAGAAGAGAGGGGCTCCAGCAGCAGGGAGACACTGCTGCCCCTCATGTGTTGCCGCCCAAGAGGCGCCTTCCTTGTTCTGTTCAAGGGTTCAGTCCCAAACAGCGCTGCACTCCCGTAACACAGTCTCTCAAGTACACTTCCCCCATACACACAAATGCACTTGTGTTGTCTCAGGGAGCACCCAGTTTGGGTGCTTTGAATGTTTCTCAGGTGACCATGACAAATGTTCACAATGTTTGCTGTTCTTTCAGTGCCCCATCTGTTCTTTGCAAAAACTTTAATGTTCAAGGGTTGCATAAAATAAAGAATTCTCTGTCTTTTCAAAAAAAAAGCAGAGCAGATAAAAAAGTGCAGTCAGGGGACGCCGTTCCCTGCCGGCACACGAGAGGGCGACAGCCCTCCACCTACAGTGATCCACGTCAGTCAACTGGCAGCACAGTTCCCTCAATGGCGCGCATGCGCACTCTCTCCATGGGTAACGCGTACTATTGCCATGGGTTACCGTCTGCAGTTTCGTTTCAGGCCTCCTTGTTTCATCTCAGTGGTAAACACCGTAGTAGCGGATGAGGCCGCAGTGGTACTGAGGGAGAAAATACACAGTCTCCTATACAAGAGAGCGACACGAGTGGTCCCTGCTTCGGAGGCGAACAAAGGTTGGTACAGCCGTTATTTCGTTGTTCCGAAGAAAGGAGGTGGACTTCATTCTATTTTGGACTTGAGAGTGTGAAACAGATATCTCCGAACTTACAAGTTCAGGATGTTAATGCTCCGACAACTTCTGACTGCGGTCGGTCCAGGGGATTGGTTTACAACCATAGATTTAACAGACGCTTACTTTCATGTAGAGATACACCCCGATCACAGGCAGTTTCTAAGGTTTGCATTCAAAGGCACAAGCTACAAATAGCTAGTACTGCCGTTCGGTCTGTCACTTGCCCCCCGTACCTTCAGCAAATGTGTCGAAGCGGCATTATCTCCTCTCTGGGAGAAAGGCGTTTGCATCTTTGCATACCTGGACTACTGGGCTCTGGTAGCCAGCTCCAGAGAACAGGCAAAGACACAGCTGTCGCTAGTTCTGTCACACGTTCAAACGCTGGGATTTTCGGTGAATTTCCAGAAATGTTCGCTAACCCCGAGCCAGCAGTTTTCTTTTCTCGGACTGGAAATATGCTCCGTTACCAGCCGAGCACGTCTGTCAGAGCACATGGTGGCCACGTTTTACCGCTGCCTCGTTCAGTTTCAGTCCGGACGCAGACTGCGTCTTCAGATGATTTTACAGTTGACTGGCATGATCGCGTGTGTGATCGCTGTAGTGCCACTCAGGCTGTTGAAGATGTGAGCGTTTCAGTGCTGGACTCGCTCTCACCGGCTGTGTCTGTCACGTCACCTCCAGAGGAGGCTGACGATAACACCGTCCTGCTTGCTAGCTTTCTGCCCGTGGAGGGAGCCCGGCCTGACTTTTCGCAAGGTGGTGTCCACAGATGCCTCTCTGAAGGGTTGGGGGGCTCTGTGCGACGGTGCGATGGTGAGAGGGGTCTGGTCATCAGCTCAGTGCAGACTTCACATCAACCACCTGGAGCTCCTAGCGGTTTTCTTAGCTCTGCAGCATTTTTGTCGAGATCTGACAGGCCAGCATGTTCTGATTAGAACAGACAACACTATTGTGGTTTCTTATATAAACAGGTAGGGAAGAACCTGTTCACTTTCCCTGTTAAAACCGTCTCACTCTCTGTTGCAGTGATGCAGTGTTCATTTCCTGTCTGTCAGAGCCACCCATGTTCCCGGTCACTTGAACCAGGGTGCAGATCTTCTCCACAGAGTGGGACCTATGGTGAGAGAATGGAGATTACACCCACAGGTGGAGGCTCAGATATGGGAATGGTTTGGCAAGGCAGAAGTGGATCTTTTTGCATCCAAAGTGAACCTGCACTGCCCTCTTTTCTTTTCCATAACAGACCAGAGCGCACCACTGGGCATGGATGCACTAGCTCACCCATGGCCCAACATGCTCCTGAATGCATTTCACCCAGTGGAATTGATACTGCCTGCTCTGGAGAGGGTGCGTCAGCAGGGCCTGTCCGTGATCCTGGTGGCCCCTCGGTGGCCAGCGAAGTCATGGTACACAGAAATTATCAGTCTGCTGGCAGCGAGGCCCTGGCAGCTCCCTTTCTGCAGGGATCTCTTCTCTCAAGCGAGAGGAGAGGTGATTAACTCACGCCCATAACTGTGGCGGCTGCATGCTGATCTGTTGAAAGGTCCAATTTATTAGCAAAGGACCTGCCCCCTGAAGTGGTGGCAACAATTCAGAGTGCACGGTCCTCATCCATTAGAGGCCTGTATGCATATAAATGGCGGGCATTTGAGCAGTGGTGCCAGAACCGTAATGTTCTCTCATTTCAGTGCTTATTTGTGGATATTTTGACATTTCTTCAAGAGCTGCTGGATAAGGGTCGCTCCTTCTCCACAATAAAAGTTTATTTGGCAGCTATATCTGCCTGCCACTTTGGTTTTGATGGTATGACACCAGGCGCTCATCCTCTTGCCATGCGCTTCTTAAAAAGGGTCCGCCGGCTGAGGCCCGCGGTTAGATCCAGCGTCCCTTCATGGCATCTGTTACTGGTACTTGAGGCCTTTTGTGGTCCTCCATTTGAACCTATTAAGTCTGTCGATATGAAATTTCTTTCATACAAGACTGCTTTACTTCTCGCTTTATGCTCTGCAAAGCGAGTAGGTGACCTTCATGCCTTGTCGGTGCATCCCTCTTGTACCCAGTTCTCCTGTGATGACTCCAAGGTCACATTACGCCCAAATGTGGCGTATTTACCAAAGGTCATCTCATCAGTTTACAGCTCTATGGCCTTCGAACTCTTGAGCTTTTGCCCCCCTCCTTTTGCATCCGAGGAGCAGAGGAGGTTGCATTCATTGTGCCCTGTACATGCTCTACGCACCTATATTGACCGCATTCAAGAGTGTGCGTTCATGTGACCAATTATTTGTCTGTTTTGCTAATCCAGCCAGAGGTAAGGCCCTGTCCAAACAGCAGCTTTCTCACTGGATTGTGGAAGCGAGTTCCCTGGCCTACGGCAGCAGAAGCCTCCCTTTGCCCCATAGTGTGAGGGCACATTCTGCCAGGGGCATGGCAACATCATTGGCCCTATTTAGAGGAGTGCCCATAAGTGATGTTTGTGCTGCAGCTAGCTGGTCATCTCCACACATTTTTTCGTGGTTTTATTGTTTGGCTGTGACTGCCCCTTCGGTGGCTCAGTCTGTCCTTTCTGCTGGGTCTACCATGCACTAGAGTGCTGCAGACTCGACTTCGGTTCGGTAGCTGCTCTGCAGGCGTGTATACATGTCCCATACTATATGTGTTGTACTGAAATGTTATGTCTATAACTTCTGTTCCCTGAAGGAGAGGAACGAGGTACAACACTTGGTTGCCCCACAGCACAGCTGGGCTCGGTGAAGAGCAGCTATCGAACTGAGGGATGACTGTGATGACAGGTATTTATATTTGTAGGCAGGGCCTCACGTATGTCATCACAGATCATCTGCCGTAAAGGCATGAATAGAGGTGTCTTCAGTAAGGTCACGCGGGGCATGATATCCCATACTATATGTGTTGTACCTCGTTCCTCTCCTTCGGGGAACAGAAGTTATAGACATAACATTTCGTTTTGCAATCAACTTTAGAGCTGTGTGACTTTAATTGATATGCTGATCAGCAGAAACATTTTCAGCATTCTCTCTTAATCAACTTTTTTTTTTTTTTTCCCGAGCAGCAGCACTGACAGTTAGTGTTCTCAGCCTCTCTGAGTTAAGACTTCTTGTTTTTTTACTTTTTGATTTCACAAACTGAGCATCTGTTTGGCGGTTTTATTGACAAAACTACTGATAGATGAAAAGATGTAAACTGATAATAAAAATGGTAATTATTTGAAACTTTTGTCAACATAGCAAGCATTTTGAAAGGTGAGGTCTGGTGGTGTTTGTCTGAGATTATAACCAGTCTTAAATTGTGCGTTAGATGGTAGGAAAGCGTTGGTTGCTAATTCATACATAAATTTGCAATGCAAAGTAAACAGTTTTTACAACAGACCATTGTATTGTTTGTATTCCTACAGACTGCTGTTTCACCACTTGCTTCACCTGTTTTTACCATCCGTATTGATTTTTGGAAGAGAGCAGCAGCTTCTCGTGATGCCTGGATACCTGCCAGTTTGTCTGGTGGAGTTGACTCCACTGAGTCTAAACACCATGATGGTTTTTATTTTGATGTGGAGTTGTTTTTTTTGTTTTTTGTTTTGCCTTTTAAAATCTGTTTGACTGTCTGACACATCAGATTTCAAATGGATCCTCAGTACGAACAGAAAGACAGAAATGTTGGACATAATTTTGAGAGCATCTCCTTTGATTATTTTGATCTTTCCTCACTGGCAAGTTATAAATAACTACAAGTCAAACATTAATTTTATCTCTGCAGTAGGGCTGACACCCTGATTATTCTCATTGCTGATTGCCCTGTAGATTATTTCTGGATTAGTCGATTAGTTGTTTGGTCTACAAAACATTGGTAAACGGTGAAAAATGTCAATCACTGTTTCCCAAAACACAACAATACAAATGTCTTGCTTTGTCCCCAACCCAAAGATCAAGGCTCCAGACTAACTTTTTCACTGGTAGCACCGGTGCGACCAACCTTCTCATTTGGTCGTACCTCCCACATTGTCACAGGAAAAGCATATGAGTTGCTGAACATTTTCTTATTGATAGACTCTATAATTTATTGATGTTCCCTAAACACCTCACATTGCAGGCTGCGGTAAATGCTGCTTGGTGGCTGCGGTGCTTAGACAGGTGTGCGACCAAAAATGACTTTAAAAATAATGAACTAGGGTGCTCTAATGTCAGATTTGTCCGAGATGAAACAGAGTGATTTTTTTCTGCATGCCGTTTTTTCTATGAGCGGAAAAACAAAGAATGCAGGTGCATTCCATTTTTCACAAGATGATTGCTTTTTTACGCATAAATACAGCAGTCGAACGAGTTTAAAAAGTACTACTTTCCACCACTGTGGTTACCACAGTAGCTACCTGCGCCGGTAACAGTGACACTAATACAGCTTAATGATCATCATGCCACCAATGTGACCACTTGAAATTTCAACTTCACACTATTAAAAAAAGGTTGCAAATGTGACCAAAATGGTCTGGAGCGCTGCTAAAGATGTTCATTTTATAAAACAGAGTATTAATGTTTAAGATGCTGCAATCAGAGAATATTGACTTCTTTAAATACAAAAACAACACATTTTTTGATGTACACCTGAAGCCTGCATGTCCTCCAAACAATGTTTAACTAAAAACTTTAAAGTAAATCATGTTTTGCCTGGGGGCTGCAAGGTGGCGCAGTTGGTAGCACTGTTGCCTCGCAGCAAGAAGGTTGCCGGTTCGCGTCCCGGTGGGGGCACCGGAATCTTTCTGCGTGGAGTTTGCATGTTCTCCCCGTGCAGCGTGGGTTCTCTCCGGGTTCTCCGGCTTCCTCCCACACAGTCCAAAAACATGTTTAGGTTAATTGGTGATTCTAAATTGTCCGTAGGTGTGAATGTGAGTGTGCTTGGTTGTCTGTCTCTAAGTGTGGCCCTGTGACAGACTGGCGACCTGTCCAGGGTGTCCCCTGCCTTCGCCCTAAGTCGGCTGGGATAGGCTCCAGCACCCCCACGACCCCAATGAGGATTAAGCGGTGTATAGAAAATGGATGGATGGATGTTTTGCCTGATAGACTTGTCTTGCAGATTGGTTGTGTAAACTCAAATGTTCTCTTTTTGCATCAAGCAGTAAAAAAGTTGGAGCATGAGGTGTTTGGATTAATTAGCCTTACTTCACATCACAGTGTTAATGACGAAATAATATATCCCTGGCAACGGATCTTTCAGGTGGTTTACGATGAGGTTTCTTAATAATGAAACTTTTTGTTTCACTTAAAATCTCTCAGAAGTGGATGCACAGGAACATTACCTAAACTTGACAACATTATAATTTACTTTTTCAGGAACTATCTAATCAAAGATAGGTGATAGTATGACTTTAACTCAACATCTTATTACAATAGTTCATTATTGCACATCCACGTGGTTTTATTGGACTGATTTGTCCGTGTTTACTCAACTGTGTTCAGATTCGAAGCTTGGGGCAGCAGAGGTGTGGACGTCTCGGCAGGCCCTGCAGGACCTTTACCAGAAGATGCTGGTGACAGATCTGGAATACGCTCTGGACAAGAAGGTGGAGCAAGACCTGTAAGCAGCTCTACCTGGACTCTGCAACACACCACATATGATGTTTTCTTTATTTGTAGTGATATGGTTTGGACTTGAGTTGACACTGTACCGAAAAGGTACAGTCTTTAGTTTTTCTAATGTTTGGAGTTGTTTTACAGTGTTAGGTGAAAGGTCCGATTCTTTGTGGGGTTTATTTTGATGACAGTTGTAGTCCTGTTATGTCATCTTTTGAGCTCTGCCCAGTTGTTGTTTGGTCCTGATGTTACATTCTGTTTTCCTGCAGGTGGAACCATGCTTTTAAGAACCAGATCACCACACTGCAGAGCCAGGCCAAGAACCGAGCCAACCCTAACCGCAGCGAGGTCCAGGCCAACCTATCGCTGTTTCTGGAGGCAGCTAGTGGCTTCTACACACAGGTAGGCTTCAGGAGGATACGTTTAGCAAGAGCTGGGTCTGGGGTTTGGTTATTGTCATAGACGCTTGTAAAAAAATTAAAACGTGTGTCCAGATTTTGAAAAAACTTGAAAGTTGATGCTACTTTTGCCCTTAAAAATCTGCCGTCAAATTTTTTCCATTCTCAGCTTATATTCTCTTGTCGTTTTCCTTTAACACTGGTGTAGGTGCCATGAGTGAATTGTTATTTTTTTAAGGGGCATATTGATTGTTGTTGGTGTTTATTTTTGTTATGATATTATTCTGTGATCATATTAAATAGAGGGATAGCGGGCCGCATGACTATGGGTGGGGATTTAAGCTCATATGCTCACCTGTTCACTTTTCATTGTCTGAGGTAGAGAGAAGGGTAGAGCTAGATTGGAGTATTTTTGTTGACTGCTATTATTAGTTGATTGCTATAATTACTTTGATTAAGAGTTTGTGCGTGTTATCATAAATTGATTGTCTTTTTTTAAAAATAAAAGACTAAATTTATTCATGGAAATCTCAGTGGATTCTTTTGTGTAGCACATTTGATAAAAAGGTCCAACCTCAGTCCCTCAGTGACTCTTGGTCTTGAAAGTCGCTACAACTGACTAAAACCTCTGGGGACAGTCCCAAATATACGTCTACTTCGGACAAGTCCTGACAAAGCGTTGGATGTGTGTAATAAGGCTAAAATCCTCTGTCACAATGCGGGTATCTTTGTCACAGCAAACTAACTTTTCTGTGAAAAATTGATTGCAAAATTGTGAATAGATTAAATAACTCATCAGGAACTAGTATGATACCTAAGTCAGAGTAGCAAATCATCACACTGATATACAAAACATACTAACCTATTATAACACAACACCAGGACAAAATCTGACTGTAGATGATGCATTGTCTTGGGGGATAATGATGTTGGTCTCCCGCTATGTTTCAGTTACTGCAGGAGCTGTGCACTGTGTTCAACGTGGACCTTCCCTGTCGCGTCAAATCGTCCCAGCTCGGCATCATCAGCAATAAGCAGAGCAACACCAGCGCAATCGTCACCCCGCAGCCCAGCTCCTGCTCCTACATCTGCCAGCACTGCCTCGTCCATCTCGGAGACATAGGTGAGAAAACTGTTATTGTCATCACCAATTCATCTGCCTGTTCACTTTCTCAGGTGATCGATGATTTGCTACACACATGGACAAAATTGTTGGTACCCCTCAGTTAATGAAAGAAAAACCCACAACGGTCACAGAAATAACTTGAATCTGACAAAAGTAACAATAAATAAAAATTCAATGAAAACTAAGCAATGAAAATCAGACAATGCTTTTGAACCATGTTTCAACAGAATTATAAAAAAAAAATAAACTCATGAAACAGGCCTGGACAAAAATGATTGTGCCCCTAGAAAAGACTGGAAATAATGTGACCATAGAGACATGTTCAATCAAGGTGTGTCCTCAAATTAGCATCACAGGTGTCTACAAACTTGTAATCAGTCAGTCAGCCTATTTATAGGGTTACAAGTACTCACTATGCTGTTTGGTAACATGGTGTGTACCACACTAAACATGGGCCAGAGGAAGCGAAGGAGAGAGTTGTCTCAGGAGATTAGAAAGAAAATTATAGACAAGCACGTTAAAGGTAAAAGCTATAAGACCATCTCCAAGCAGCTTGATGTTCCGGTGACTACAGCTGCACATGTTATTCAGAAATGTAAGATCCATGGGACTGTAGCCAATCTCCCTGAACGTGGCTGCAGGAGGAAAACTGATGACAAATAGAAGAGACCAACAATACGAATGGTAACCAAAGAGCCTAGAACAACCTCTAAAGACATTAAAGGTGAACTCCAAGGTCAAGGTGCATCAGTGTCAGATCGCACCATCCGTCGTTGTTTGAGCCAAAGTGGACTTCATGGGAGACGACCAAGGAGGACACCATTGTTGAAAACAAATCACAAAAAAGCCAGACTGGAATTTGCTAAACTGCATGTTGACAAGCCACAAAGCTTCTGGGAAAATGTCCTACAGACGATACAAAACTGGAACTTTTTGGCAAGGCACATCAGCTCTATGTTCACAGATGCAAAAATGAAGCATATCAAGAAAAGAACACTGTCCCTATTGTGAAACATGGAGGAGGCTCTGTTATGTTCTGGGGCTGCTTTGCTGCATCTGGCACAGGGTGTCTTGAATCTGTGCAGGGTACAATGAAATCTCAAAACTATCAAGGTATTCTAGAGAGAAATGTGCTGCCCAGTGTCAGAAAGTTTGGTCTCAGTCGCAGGTCATGGGTCTTGCAACAGGATAATGACCCAAAACACACAGCTAAAAACACCCAGGAATGGCTAAGAAGGAAACATTGGTCTATTCTGAAATCAAAATCTTATTGAACATCTGTGGAAGAAGCTGAAACATGCCATCTCGAGAAGGCACCCTTCAAACCTGAGACAACTGGAGCAGTCTGCTCATGAGGAGTGGACCAGAACACCTGCTGAGAGGTGCACAAGTCTCATTGACAGTTACAGAAATCGTTTGATAGCAGTGGTTGCCTCAAAAGGTTGTGCAACAAAATATTAAGTTAAGGGTAACATCATTTTTGTCCAGGCCTGTTTTCATGAGTTTATAATATATAAAAATAATTCTGTTAAACCACAGTTCACAAGCAATGTCTGATTTTCATTGGTTAATTTTCATAGAATTTTTATTTATTACTACTTTTGTCAGATTCAAGTTATTTCTGTGACCATTGTAGGTTTGTCTTTCATAACCGAGGGGTACCAACAATTTTGTCCACATGTGTATGTCAGTGAAATGTTAAAAAGAAATGTCAGTTTGTTGTGCTCAAGATAAAATGTTAAAAACTTAATTTAATTCCTAATTTTTAATGTGTTAATTCATCCACTGATATTCTATCAGTTAATATTGATGAATGCACAGCTGGGGATTACTTATATAAAACTTACAGAAATGGGATACCGGTGTTAATGAACTCTTGTACCTTATAAATAACAGCAGGTTGTTTTCTTTGACCAGATTGACCATGAAAAACGCATTAAATTATATGTATGTATAGTATTTATATGTGTGCATTTGTAGAAACAGGGAATGTTCCTAATGTCTAATTTCTCTGTAGTGAACTAAAAAGTTTAGTTTACTGTGAAGAAAAAAATCAAACAGGCAAAACTGAATTTATTTGAAAAGTTAAACCTTGTCCAAAAACATTCTCTTAGTATTTTAACTCACTGAACCCCAAAACTCAGTGGCTGGTTTAAAAGATGTGTTCAAGACTAAAAAAATATTCTGAACAGTTTGGATTGGATTGCGTAAAAAATATTTGTTTACATCTTTTTAAAAGTTGTCTTCAAATTTGATTGATGATTATATAGAAACTGATATTTTACCAGACAGACTGTGTGTACTGATTTACTAACAAGAAACTTAGTTATCAGGCCGGTATGCTTGTGTTGTTTGGACTAAAGGTTGTGTGTATTTATTTATTTATTCATACACACTTCTGTGTTTCAGCACGTTATCGCAACCAGACCAGCCAGGCGGAGTCTTATTACCGACATGCAGCTCAGCTGGTTCCATCAAACGGTGAGTCTGAGGGATTTTTCTTGTCTTTCAGGTGTTGGTTTTTGATCAATATGCATTTGAAGTTTGTTGATTTGTAGTTTCCCTTCTCTGTCCAGACTGTGTGTTAAGCCATCTTAGTGTCTTAGTGGACTGAATATTTTGAGTGCTGTCAAAACTTTAAAAAAACTAAAAAATTCAACCTTCCATGAATATTTGTAGTCTTTTTTAGGTCCAGGACGGATTATAGGACAATGATTAAAGTAGGACCTCTGGACTCAAAAACAATTTCTGTTTTGTGGCTGTTCTCAATTGCTTTGGGATAAGAATGAAATTTTTAAGCAGTAACTATCAGTAACTAATTATTCATTAAATTAATAAAATATAGTGGATGCTTTTCCACATGCAGCCATTTTTAGCCACTTACACTTGATGTTTGCTGGTATATACTCTCGAGCAGAGCAGGAATTTGAAGAATACATAAAGTAAATGCCAAGTTAATGAATCATTAATTAAACAGCAAAATATAATGACATTTAAATTTTCTCTTTGATGATTGGACCAACAAAATCTAAGGAAATTAACTTCTACAGTAAATAACCTGTAACATTATCAATTCTGTGTTCTGTTATTTTCTTCAGTTGAAGGTCACAATTTGAGGAAATACACTGTGCCAATAATGATGATAATCAGTGAGAAACAGCAGCACAAGGAAACAACAGCTGCCATCTTTAGTTCTCGGCTAGCATGAACACTGTCTCCTTCCTTACCTTCCATTCTACATAACATATAGGCCTAATCAGATTACATTAGATTTTCATCAGCAAATATTTGTAGTTTCTTGCTCTGAATGTCTCTTGCCTCCTGCAGGTCAGCCGTACAACCAGTTGGCCATCCTGGCCTCCTCTAAAGGAGACCACCTCACCACCATCTTCTACTACTGCCGCAGCATTGCAGTCAAGTTCCCCTTCCCAGCAGCTTCCACCAACCTGCAGAAGGCGCTTTCTAAGGCTCTGGAAAGGTAACAGCACGCCACATAACACACCGTCCACTGCAAAATAAAGTCCTGCACTTCTATGGAAACAGCCCAACCATGAAGAGGGAGAAATAACTCAGAAATCTTCTTCAGAAGTCTACTGTACAGGATGACAAAGTTATAATACCATAAATTAAAACAAAACTTGATTGATTAGTTACCTTACAGAAATTAAACAAATCAGGAATCCCCATGTCCACATTTTTCCAAGAGCCCACAGGTGTTAGCAAAACAGAAAATTTTATTGATATTTAACTATTCATCTGAAAGCATTTGGTGCGAACAGTTTATTTTTTAGTAAATTAATAAATAAAGTGATTCTGATTTTCACAATTTTAAGCATAGATTTGGTTAATTTTCTTGACAGATTTATATTTCAAGGACTGTCAGTTGAAAATTGAAAGCTTCTTTCTGTTTTTGTTGATAAATGGTCAGATTTGAGTGATTTTTTTTATTTTTTATAAAGAAAACATGCCTTTCAAACCCGCTGATGAGTTTTCTTGGTTGACAGAGTTAAAGCCAAAGAAAAGACTTCAATTTGAGTTGCAAGGATTTTTAACAATTACTTTACTTTCTTTGACAACCAACTACTGAAGCGTTGTGTCCGTCTGAGAGGAATCGAAGACCCTCTTTAAATACGAAAGCATTGTGACTGATGTTTTCTCATTTTCATTGCCCTTCCTCTGTGTTTCTGCAGTCGTGATGAGGTGAAAACCAAGTGGAGCGTATCTGATTTCATTAAGGCCTTCATCAAGTTTCATGGTCACGTCTACCTGAGTAAGAGTCTGGATAAGCTGGATGCTCTGAGGGAGAAACTGGAGGAGCAGTTTCAGGTAAAACCAAAAGATCATTTCCACAGTTCAGCATTCTATCTGTGTTTTTTTAATAAATGCACCATGATGTGGAAATGATCCAGACCCAGACAGTCTTTAACTGACTGTTATCAGCGGGAACCTAAACTCAATCCTTTGTTTATGTCTGCTGTCACACGCTTGAATTAATGCTGTCTGGAGGTCAGTAAGCATTACAGAAGACTTTATCACCGTGCCCCTTTTCCAGCTAAACCTCCACAATCCTCTCTGCTTGAGAACACAGGACTGCTTGCCTTTTATGGTTGATTTAAAAAGTAAGGTGCCAGGTACTACAGCTAATCTGCAATACTTGAAGTGTATGTTTTGTTGAAAAATTGTATCAGGTTTTGGCAGATAGCACTCAGAGGTAATATTGCAATTGAAGCTGTCCGATCGTACACCGCAATGGGAGGGGAAAAAAGGACTTAAATGGCTTAGCCATTCATGTAAACACTGACACTACCTCCTGCCTGCCCTTAGTTCCTGCAGTGGAAAGCCGCTGATGGATTCTCTTTGAATCTCGTGAGAATGGAGCAGCCTCACAAGGTAATGACAAGGTTCATTCGTCATATTGTGTGTGTTTGTGTGTGCAGCGGCTGATTCTGCAGAAAGCCTTCAGCTCTCAGCAGCTGGTCCACATCACCGTCATCAACCTGTTTGAGCTCCACCACCTCAGAGACCTGACGGCCGATGGCAGCGAGCAGAGCTACAGCAGCGAGCAGCAGATCAGCTGGTTCCAGTTGCTCGGCCTCTTCAGTAAGAACCATCAACGCACTGTTAACACTTACACTCAAAGGAGCCATGAATACACAACAGCTGTTGTTTATTTGTTGAGCTGACACTTGTCATCCAGACATGGTGGCACAACTTGGAAGTGAAAGCAGGGCTGTTTATTTAATTGTTTAAGTGCATTGAAACTATCCTCTCTAAACTAGTCTCTAAAATCAATGAATAATTGTGGTAAATAGGATAATTATGACCTGTAATATTGATCAAAATGATCATATTTATCATTTTGCCATAATCAGACAGCTCCAGTCAGTTGTATTTAAATATTCTGGCTTTAGAAAAGATGATGTTGACAAAAGGAGGGACTCTGTTGGCAGTTGCTGCCAGTAAATGAGGTAATCATGAACAGGGGCGGAAAGCTGGGTCTGAATGCCATCCAACACAAAATATTTTCAGTGTCTTTGCCAGTGTTACACCATATGAGAAAGGCCCCTAACTGCTTTTTTTCTTTTTAATTTAAGAATAAATCAAGTAAACCTCAGTTTCAGTGTCGCTAGATGGTACTCTGGATCCATGGTAGAAATGTGTCATTCAAGACCAGTATCTGACTCAGCATCTGAATGACTCAGTGATGCAGTTTTGCTATCTGATAAAGAATACTTTTTACTGAGTGTGATGAACAAAATAAATAAAGAAACTGCAGTTATTTTGTTGGGATTCATATTTATACTGAAGAAGAGAAAAGCTGTGTTTCAGATCCCCATTGGTATGCAAGGGTTTTGGAACTGTGTTCCCTAAAAGCCACTTTTGTCTTTGTTTTTTGACATATTGCTTGTTTTATCCCACTAGTCCTTCTGTGTTTATTCACACATAAGAGTGACCCAATCAGATTCAAGGTAAAAAGTGTAGAATTGTGCCTTAAAGGGGGCTACAGCTGTTGTATTTGATACAGCTGGGCCTTAGCAGTGTGATCTACCGCCATACTGTCATTAGGATAATACTGCATCTGAAGGGCTGCCTGATAACAAAAATGAAAAAAATAACTGATGCTCAAAATGCTGCAAAAGGCATTCACACATATTACATTAGCCTTTCATATTGGTTGCACTGGTGTGTTTAACTTTGTCATTTAGTTGCACCCACAACTTTATACACCTCATTTTCAGCTGTTGATGAGCAAATCAGTCTGTGATCAAATTAGATCAGTCACAGACATGGATAGCAGCACTTGTTTGGATGATATGGCGCACTCAGAAGACAGTTGGTTGTCACTGCTGTCTGACATGACTTCTGTCTCCTTAGTGTCCTTCCTCGGTGTGATGTGCAGCCGTGTCCTCCTCAACAAGAACCGAGGCGAGGAGATCATGGGGGAGTGTCCTCTGCCAGCCATCAAGGTGTCTCTGGACTGGCTCAAACTGAGGCCCAGCGTCTTCCACGAGGTCGCTGTTGACAAGAGGCAGTAGTAAGTCCACTGTCTTTCCCTACTTTAATTAAACCTGTGAGCTCTGAGCAATTTCGGGATGTTTGCTGCTCATATTTTTCCTCACTCATTTTGCACTGCAGTGAACAGTCCTGCACCTTTGTGGAAACAGCACAACCATGAAGAAGGAGAGAGAACTGTCTTCTTTGCTGAATGACACAGTTATAGGGCCAAAGACCATAAAAAATTAAATGGTTTTGATTATTTATTTACAAAAGCAAAATGAAAACCTATAGTCAAAATGAAGACAATTTTTCCAAGTTCTCATTTGTGTTACCAATACTAGGGGAAAAATGATGACTCTACATAATATAGATATTTTACTATTTATGTTTTTATTTCATCTGTCCCTCTCTGTTCTGTGTAGATACTGCCTGCAGTTCAACTGAATTTTTGTCATGTCACTGTTGGTTGCAGCTCAGTCAGTCGTGGTTTCTCAGGTTTACTAAGGAATGCAACATTTTTTTATTTTTTTTTTTTTTTTAAATGATCTGCAAACACTTTAACTTTGGTATTTTGAATAAATATCTTGCTTTTAAGCTTAGATTTGGTGTGTTTTTCCAACTAAACAGCACATCACAGAACTGTTGAAGTTGAAAATCTGATGATTCTTTCTATTTTTACAGTTTCTGGTTCTGTTAAATGCCGTCATTTTGGTGAAGGTTCTTGTTAAGATAGAACGACTTTCATAATTTGGGGTCAACACTGAAATGTTTTACTCCCTGGCTGTAGGATGACTTTTGTACTGAAACTTCACCCGCTCTTCCTCTCTCAGTGTCTGGCCCTGGCTGGTGTCCATTCTTAACAGTTTCCAGCCCAAAGAGGATGACGTGTCCTGTTCCTCAGGTAGGACACCAACAGTTATTGACAGATTACAAGCTTCGCTGATACCATCTTTCCTGATCTTTCCTGAGTATGAGGGTCGAAACTGGGCTGCACCATCTGATTGTCAGTCTGCTGCTTTTTAAAGTACCTCCTGAGTTGTTAGTAACTAGTTTCAGTACCTGATTCTAATTTTAGGTTTCCTTTTTTTAACATCTGGCCAGAAACAACAGATAAACTCTGGCTTAGTTTATTTCTGTCAGCCAGTAATCACTGTCCCTTTTGCAAATATTTAGTAACAATAAGAAATAAAACATGTGGGTGTTCTCAGGTAGTCTACTCCTGCTGCTGCCAAGAATGCTGGATAAATCCTGGTATGCTGCGAATGTTTGTCTTTATAAAATTAACACCAGCTCGACCAATGAGAACTTGGTCAGATGAGAGCATATCAACTAATCAATCCACCTGTATCCTGAAGCTCTGCTGAATGTAAATATGTAACAATAAGTTCTGCGGAAGAACTAGTTTGTGCACTTAATGCATAAATTACAATTTACAAAGCTTCTTAGTGGGACTATATTTAAGCTGGCCTACAGGTTCTCCTGCAGGTTCTTTATTTAGCTGAGTGAGTAGAATGAAATATGATCCAAGTTCTTCTCAGGTTACAATCAGACAGCATCCAAATTACTGGAACAAAGAGTGCTGCTGTTGATCGCATGATATGATACAGTGTGCTAAAGGTTAGTCTTCACAGCTTGCCATCGCTTCAGAATAAAAGCTGGTGGTGTTTCTGATTGTCACTGTCTGCACTGCAGAAGTTTTGACCTTCGATCCGCATCAAGTCTGTTTTCTGTTTATAATGACAAGCTTTCAAACTGCAGTGGGTTTGGGGTTCAGAGGGTTAACATACTTTTACAAACAAAATGGAGATTTTATTATTTTTATTTATTTTTAGCTGTAGCTGATGTGTAATCACTGTTTTGTAGCTGAAGCTGTGTTTTTCTCCCCAGTGATGCCCCTGCCAGAGGAATTTGAGCTCCAGGGTTTCTTGGCTCTCAGACCTGCTCTGAGGTACTGCCTCTTCTTCATCACTCAGTAATGGGGTGGGTGTTTGAAAGTTAAAACAATGTTCTGATGCCTGTGGTTGTGTCAGGTGTCTGGACTTCACCAAAGGACATCAGGGCATCCTGGTGGACAGGGATGGCCTGCCAGTGCACACTCGACACCAGAGACTCATCAGTCTGGGAAAATGGGTGGCTGACAACCAGCCAGGGTGAGTGTTCAACCACGCTGTCGCCATCGCAGTTAAAGGTTCATCATTGACAAAACTGATATCAGGGTTGATATTGCTTCAACATTTGTTTCTTTGATTTGGATAAAGGCTTATTCACCCAAGCTGAAAAACTCTCAGATCCAGTCTGATACTATTAAGTTTATTTGTCCATTCCTGCCTCCTGGTGAAAGGAAGTTAGTTTGTCCAGTTCATTTTTAGATTAATTGTATCTGCAGACAGTTTTCAGTGAGACTACTTAAAAGTGTTGTTGAACTGATTTGACAAGGTACATTACCATTCAGTTTTAGAAGAGGCTTAAGGCAGCAAGATCTTTCCACTTGATTGCTGTTACAATGTGGTGAAAGAAACCTAGTAACACATAAAAAAACAACGAGCATAATTTTAAATTGATAAAAATTTTCCATTTACATTTTTATACATGTTAGAACAAATATGTGATAAACATTAACATCGCACACACAGGTGTTACTAATACTGGACAAAATGGGGGCTCTAAATACTATAGATATATTTTACTGTTTACACTTTTACTCCAGGCTGCAAGGTGGTGCAGTTGATTAGCACTGTTGCCTCACAGCAAGAAGGTCGCCGGTTTGTGTCCCGGTAGGGGCACTGGGATCTTTCTGCGTGGAGTTTGCATGTTCTCCCCGTGCAGCGTGGGTTCTCTCCGGGTTCTCCGGCTTCCTCCCACAAGTCCAAAAACATGTTGAGGTTAATTGGTGATTCTAAATTGTCTGTCGGTGTGAAAGTGAGTGTGCTTGGTTGTCTGTCTGTAAGTGTGGCCCTGCGACAGACTGGCGACCTGTCCAGGGTGTCCCCTGCCTTCGGCCTAAGTCGACTCTACTCATTGCATTTTTGGCACATCAACCGTAGAAAGATGTTTCACCATGCTGAATGTATCTTCTGTCTTGTGATGGCGGTGCACATGGACGCAGCGGCCCTTTCAGGAGACAGCGAGAGTAAATGTTTAGTGTCTTGCCTATCCCAGACGTGTATTCCGTAAAACTTACTAATTAAATGATCCTGAAGAAACGCTCTCTCATCTTGCCTGTACTACTGTGTATGTACAGCAAAATGACAATAAATTTGATTTGATCTTCCAACAACTTGCTCCTCTGAATACTGTTTGTTAGTCATGCTTTACAAATTTTAGCGATCCAGTATGTTTTATTTTCCTCTTAGTATCTCTTTCCGCCTTCTTTCTGCTTAAAGACTTTCAATGTAATTTGGTGAACTCAGCAGAAACCCTGAGAAAAAGCTTGATTTAGCACACAACAAACGTAAGTCATTTAGGACATGTCGGACATTGACAAACATTAGCTCATCATGGCTGTCTCTTCTTTGCAGTCTGATCCAGTGCAGAGTGAGTGAGGACGGCCTCCTTGTCTTCATCACTGACATTCCAGAGCAGGCCATCGAGGAGCCACAGGAGAAGGAGGCCCCGGTGCTGCAGGAGTCGTCCAACGGCGAACAGATGCCCAATGACGGTGGAAACTCTGGCCTGAAATCAGTGCTGTCTGCAGGGAAGACGCAGAGCTCGTGGCCTGACAGCTGTGACCGGCCCGTTGTCACCTTCAAGGAGAACATCAAACCCAGAGAACAGAGCCGCGAGCCGACACGAAACCATCACCAGAAAGATGGCGTCAAGGAGCGCCGAGATTTTTCCAAAGGCAACGGGGCTGCTGGGAAAGGAGAGCAGAAGAGGGACGGCAAAAGGAAGAGCGAGTTGAAGAAAGCCAGCCATGAGAAAGCTACTGATGCTGGAAAGCAGGTGGATACGACTAAATTTAATCTAATGTGACTTTCTCACTCACAGAGCTGCTTATTTGAATGTTTGAATGAGGCGTATTATTGAGGAGTTGACTGTTGTTCAGGTGAAGGCGCAGACTGAGCTGAGGAAGACTCCGGTGTCTGAGGCTAAGAAGACTCCCGTCACTCAAACTCAAACTACCTGCTCCTCCCAGTTCATCCCCATCCACCATCCTGGAGCCTTCCCACCACTGCCCAGCAGGCCCGGTATGGTTGTACCTTTACATTTGTATGATATGACAAGCCAATAGTGCCATAATTCACCTCTGTTTGTGTCCGATTTAAATCAAAATGTCACTTTTCATGCTGTCAAAAGCCAAAAAAACTCTAGTAAGATATATTAAGGCGCCACCATAAACCTGTCAATTACAGCTTTTTACATTTTCTGTAGGACAACAATCCCCGGATAAATTACTTACAGAAGGCATTAACCCTTGTGAGAAAACTGTGACAACTTATTTAAGTGATTTATCAATGTCTTTCACCCAACGGACAAACGGCATAAATTCAAAAAATAATTCATAAGTTTTGAACAGCATTAAAAGTGGCGTTATTATTCAAGTGTCTATAAAATATGTGCTTTTTCTGCGTTTGACAACATATAAAGTATTGATATCTTTCAGTTGGAGGATTATTTTGTTTATCAGAATAGTCCAGTGGAGAAACTGGCTGCGTGCGGTGAGTCTAACAGCAACTTTGGACTTAGTTTAAACTCCTGATTGGTTCGTCTGCAGGTTTCCCTCCTTCAGCCTATGTGATCCCTCCCCCGGTGGCGTTCCCAGGAATCCAGGTGAATCCTGGCTTCACCTTCTCCACCGGAGTATCCGTCCCTGGACCTTTCCTACAGCCGGCCGTCCACACCCAGGCAGGCACCCAGGTTCAGGCCGGGAAGCAGTCCCACATTCCCTACAGCCAGCAGAGGCCGTCGGGGCCAGGGCCAGGTCAGGGGCCAGGGTCTTCGGGCCAGGGCCCAGGGCCGATGAACCAGGGCCCCTCCCAGGCTCAGCAACCTCAGGCTCAGCCGCCCTCCCAGCAGGCCTTGCAGCAGTCAGTGCAGCTGCAGGTTCAAGCGATGAGTCAGCAGCAGTCACCAACCAAACCTGTGCAGCAGGTTGGGATGGGGAAGAGTCCACCTCACCACCCAGGACTGCAGCAGGTCAATCACATGATCTTATTTTATTAATTTTGCGACTGATTATTTTCCAATGTATGATTTCATACAAGTTAACTCTGAACAGTTTCTAGTTATTTTTTGTGCCGGTTTTATTCATTTTGATTTTTTTCCCCCTGCAATGTAAAGTCTTACACCTCTACTGAAACAGCACAACCATAGTTGTGTTGTTTCCATCGTGTGAAGGAGAGAACTCTCAAAAATGTCTGCTGTGCTGTATGACACAGTTAGAATGCCATAAATTATGAAACATAAAACACAAAAGTTGAATTACTTTTACTATTTATTTTTCAAAAATAGAAAACTTTTCCCCGTGTCCACAGGTGTTACTAATACTGGTGCTGTTGGCGTCACAAGCTACAGATATTTAACCGTTAACATTTTTACAGCCTCGACAAACTGCATTTTTGGCACATCAGATGTAGAACGATGCTTCACTATGCTGAATGTATCTTCCAACAACTTGCTCCTCTGAATACTTTTTTTGAGCCTTGCTGCATTTATTTATTGATCCAGCATGTTTTATTTTCCTCTCAGTCTCTCTTGTCGTCTCCTTTCTGCTCTGTGGAAATACTGATTCATAAAGAATCAATATTTTTTTGCCATTTGTGTGCAAACAGACAGTCTGGGCACGTTGGAAACACCTTGTCAAAATAGGTGAGCAATAAAACACTATACAATTGTAAAAGATACAATAGAACAATAGAATAAATAAATCTGAAAGCTGCACACGGAATTAGTAATGTTACAGTTTACCTGAAAACTCACTGAATTTTTGACTGTTGGTCACAGCTGACTCAGTCAATTTTTTCTTTGGTCTGCCAAGGAGATCATCATGTTTTGGTTTTTACAGGATGTAGTCCATACAGTTATATTTGTAATCTGTTTAAGCTATACATATAAATAGTGAACATTAAAATAGCTTTAGTCTGTACACTTCAGTCAGTCATCATTTTTCGCAGTATTGGTAACACCTGTGGGAGCTTAAAATATAGCAAACATGTTGATTGTTTGATCCCTCAAAATCAACTTCAGGTATTTCTTTTTTTTGTTTTATAGCATTATAAGTGTTTCATGTTGCTCAGAAGACATTTGGGAGTTCTCTCTCCTTCTAGCCATAGTTGTGTCGTTTCCATTTTGATGCAGACCTTCATACTGCAGAGACAAATGAAAGGTCTAGAAACTGCATGGAATTCAGAGGGTTAGAAGAAATGTGACAGCCTTCAACAGAGATGACAGCTGTATATGCGCTGATAGTTTACTCTGGTGTGTCTGATCTGAACAGTATATGCAGGTCCAGGACCAGCCGGCTCAGATGTGGAACCAGGCCCAGGCGGCCCTGCAGAAGATTCCTACCATGCAGATGTCCATGAAGCAGCCTCAGCAGCAGCAACAGCAAGCCTTCTACATAGCGGCTCAGGATCCTCTGAAGATGTACGAGCACCAGCTGCAGGCGCCAGCTCCACCACAGCTCTCCAATATGGAAAAGAAGATCAAATATCCTGATGTCAAGATGCAGGACTTCTACTGGGAGCCCTCGTACAGGATGGGGGACGGCCTGGCTGTAATGGCTGACAGGATGAAGAGGCCTCCACCGGGCAGCATGTGTTCAGAGCAGGATGGCCCTGCCGGACCCCGCGGACCCCCGTATGAGGTGACCTGCTCTCAGGGGACAGTGTGGGAGGAGAGTGTCCAGTGCAGTCTGCTTTTCTGTCTCTGTGCTTCTTTTTCCTGCTTTTTCTGGTCTCTTTTCTGATCACAGAGGTAGAGTCGGGTAGCAGCATTTAAAGTTGGACAGCCCAGGTATTATTACTCCTGGTGGTGCTCTACGGGGGAAAATTAGGTGGAACTGATTGAATTGTTGCAGTGATGGAGTCACATTTTAAAATTCAAACATCTGATTTGGAAGTTTTCTTTTAAGAACATGTATCCCAGCATCCCAGTGCAGGAGCTGCTCACAGCAGCCTAAAAAAGGGTTTCTTCTTACCTTAAATCTCCAGCACTAATGAAGACTTATCTGTGATATAGCAAGCACAACTGGATGCTTACCTTAATTAACGTAAATACTAACTAACCCTCTGAACTCCAAGCAGTTTTTTTAATCTTATTTTTCTTGTCTTATTTGTCACTGCAATATTAAATCCTGCACCTCTATGGAAACAGCACAATAAGAACTAGAAGTAGAGAGAACTCAGAAAGTCTTCTATGCAGTATGACCATCACAATGTCGTATATCAGAAAAAAAGGAAAAACGATAGTTGAATTTCTTAGAATTTTTTAAGTCTGTTTCCATACTTGCCTCCTTTCGGCTCTGTGTAAACACAGCCTGCAGTTCAAGCCAGTTCAACCAGAAAATTGCAGCTTTTTTGTCATATGGCTGTTGATTACAGATTAGTCAATAATAACTTGTTGCCCTGAAGAGTGACATTTTCTTATTTTCTTTTTTTTTTTTACAGAATTGGGTTCCTACAAATGGCTTACTTTTGGTGATTTTTTTTTTTTAATGGGACATGTAGAATATTGTGATTATATAGCATAATTTTAAGCTGAGATTTAGATGTTTTGAATGATTAAAAATGTAATTTGGTAACTATTAGGAACAATTCTTTGTTTTCAAGTGGTTGATTTTGTCTGTTTCTTTTTTTTTTCTAAAGCTAAAATGCCTTTTAAAATTTTCCAGTGGCCTTTGGGGTTCAGAGGTTGTTTTCTTCACTTACCTCTCCACACTGCAAAAAATCAAGGACATCCCAAGCAAGAGTTCTATCTCTGACATGTAGAGCACCATATGATGCTTAACTTAACTTTCCAAAACATTGATTCAATTGACAGGAAATAATTAACAGATTAATCTGCAATAATAAAAAACAATGTCAGCTGCATCCCGAGTACAGTATGAGGAAAATAATTAGTTTTTTTTTAACTTTAATGCATGTAAATATATTGTAGTGAACCCAAAAGACATCATATTATAAACCTGTAAATGAGCAGAGTATGGGCTCTTTACCTGCTCTCCGTTAGTCTTCATTGCATCTTGATGAAAGCATAAGATTTTCAGGATTTTGTAATTTTGTAAATTTCATAGTAACTTGATAACTAAAAAAATAACAGAGATAGTTTTTTTTTTTATTCGAGCCTTTTCAGCTTATACAACAGCAAGAACAAAGAATTCAGTAAATATTCTGAAATTTTAATAAAATAATGACTCATCTCTAGCATTTGTGTGTAAAAGCATTTATAAAATGTATGTTTATTTCGGAATGACAATCTTGATTTTAAAAATTTAAGCGAGTCTGAGGAGAAGTCTTCTTGTATTTAAAGGATTTGATCTTTGATCTGACTTGTTAAAATCAACTTTTTGAACAGTGTCAGCTTGCAGGCTTTTGTAGCTTTTAGCATAACTTTCCTTCTTTCCACCTCTGTCTTACTGGCTTGCCTTCTTTCTTTTTTCTCTTGTTTTTTTTTTTTCTTTCTTCTTCTTCCTCCTCCTCCTGCCCCTGTTCTTCTTCTTCTTGCTTTATCTCACTAGGACAACAAGAGCTCGCCTCTTCTACCTCCAGACCTGTTAAAAACTCTAGCAGATTTTGAGGAGGAGGAGGAGCTCGTCTTTACTAAGCCTCCTGATTTCTTCCAGGCCTTGGCTGGCCCTCTTAGCACTGCACCTGGACCAAATATATTTGTATGTAGCCCTGTCTTCGTCATCCAACACCCTCCCTCCCAATCCCTAAACCCCTGACCTCCCTGCATCCAGATCTAAAGCCACACTCTGCTCATCAGTTTTCATCTTTTCACCAGAGCTGCTCACACATTTTTTTGTTGTGTAGAAGAACAATAATTTGGTCTGATTATCAAGAAACACAGAAAACATTTACAGACTCCTTTACCAACCAAAAATCTCCAGATTAACAAAGAAACAGTTTACCTCAAAATGCAAGTACAAATACTTAGTTTTCTGGTGTTTCTTTGGAATTTAAGAACTGTAAGTCAGATTTGGCATTTGGTATGGAAGACTTTTGGCTTAAAGCAAAAGAAATTAATTTATGCAGTACTAACCAGTAAGAGCATGGGTCCTCTTATGGTTTTTTAACTTGTAATAGCTGCTAAACCCTCTGAACTCAAAGCAGGTCCTGGGTGTCGATGACTCCTGTTGTATTTTTCCTCATTTTACTCTGCAATATAAAGTCCTGCACCTCTATGGAAACGGCACAACAATAGCTGGAAGTGGAGACAACTGCAGTGAATGTGTTCAGTGTAGTATGACACAGTTATAAAGTCATGAATCTTAAATAAACATTTTCAACATTTTTGTGAGTGCTACAGGTGTTACCAGTACTGGGGCGAAAATGGCTAAAACACGAACATAGATTTGATTCCATAGTTGCAGTGTGCTCTGTGTAAACACAGCCTGCAGTTCACATGAAAAAATAATTTTTCTGAGGTAACTGTTGGTCACAGCTGAGTCAGTCGTGGCTTTTCAGTTGTACACAAGAGCTCAAAATGTTTTGTTTTTATAAGATCTGGTGCAAGTGTTTTTTAAATGAGACATCAGAATAAAGTGATTTTGATCACATTTAAATGCTTAGATTTTGTTAGTTTTCCAAATAGAGCTGTAGGTAAAGGACCATCAGAAAGTTGTAAATCTGACTATTATTCTGGCTGATAAATGGTCTTTGGCATTTTTTTTTCAAAGTGAACGTATTTCTCAAATCCACTGGGGGGTTTTGGAATTCAGAGGGCTAGCAGCTGGTAATCCTTCAGATTGTGGCTTTATTTGCATGCTGAATGTCTTTAAATATGAAATGACGTGATACCTCGTGGAAAACCTGGAGATTAAAAAAAAAAAAAAAAAGAGAGAGAGCGAGAGACAAATATGAACTGGTTTTGTGCTTTTTTTTTCTTAGAAAATTGCACTTATTCTAGCAGATCTTCAGCATTTATTTTCAGAGATTTACTCCTCAACTACAGCAGATTCATACCTTTGTTATGATTTAAGTGAGACAGTCAGACTACTGTCACTTCAGTTATGAAGTCGTGACCGTAAACTCTCCTACAAGAACCCTCTGTGGTCGTAGGAACACCGTTTATACACCACAGTTTGTTTGATTTGCAATGCATCAGCTGTAGTCTGGAGAACTAAAACCTCAGGATGTCAAAAGATGCTCAGAAAATATAACAAATGCTCCCATCGAAGTCCCCACAAGGAAACTGGATGAATTAGTTTGTTTTAAAGAATTATAAGTTTTATTGTCATCATAATGCTGTGTAAGACAGCAATACAATGAAATTTCAATGGCATTCCCTGAGTAAACGACAATCTATAAAAAGACATTCTCATAAATGATGAAAACAATAGATTTTAAAAGTTAATATGGAAAGTTGCAGTGCTTAAAGTACTAGGTGTGGCAGCAGGAAAGGCTGATAAATAACAGTACGATTTTTTTTTAGTACTTAAAGGCTCAATGCAAAGTTTTTTCAAATAACAGTATGTGTTGGAAAGCATAAAATTTCAGTGTTTTTGGTACCAATTGCCAAACTTTTGGTGTTGTGACTTTCATGATAAAAAATCTGATTTGACTGGACACCCCAACAGCTATACGAAATGCAAATAAAAAAGATGTAAGCATGTCTTTTCATTGACCAGATCATAGGAACTTCCACTAGTGACACCTCTGTCTCCTACAGTTGCTTCACAATAAAAGTCCTCCACCTTCATGACTTCCGGAAGGCTTTTACTGTGACACAGCTGCAGCTGCATGACCAACTCCTGCACAGTGTTTTTCTTTCATGCACTGAGCTTTTGTCTGTCTGTCGCCACTTCATCTGTCCTTCGTCTCTGCAGCTGCCGAACCAGACCAGGATGGAGAGCGGCCCGGAGGTCGTCAGCCAGTCGTCTTCTCTGCTGCCCATATCTGGCTTCCCCATGCAGGTCAGAGCTTCCTCCACCATCTCCATCTCCTGACATCTAACATGTTCTTAGGTTGTTTCCTCCTGAAATTCACCCAACACACCATAAAAATAGGCTTTTGTCAGTCTGAGAGGTTCCATCGGGAGCTAGGGGCAGGGTTATCGTGACCACCGAGACTGATGAATGGGACACACAAGTGGTGATTTTTGTCGTTTTTTTCCAGGACGTCTCTGGTCCAATCGCAGATGTATTGGAATTAGTCCTGGGACACACGGAAGTTTTGCACACACTGTTGCACACTGAAAGCTGGTACAACTGTGTCCCACCAGCAGTACCACTGTACTGGAAAACAGGACTTTTATAACTTCGGTGTGCTGCGGTATTTACGCTTAGACATGCGGTCTTCTTGTGAAAAACAACGCGCACCTGCATGCGCTGTTTATTCCGCTCATAGAAAAGACCACATGAGAAAAAAATCACTCAGTTTCATCTTGGAACAAATCTGACATTAGAACGCCCTAGTTTACTCTTTTTAAAGTCATTCTTGGTCGCACACCGGTCTGTGTACCGCAGCCACCAACAGCAACTACTGCAGCCTGCAGTGTGGGATGTTCAGGGAACATTGTAAATTGTAAAGCCTATTGATAAGAAAATGTTCAGCAAGTCATATGTTTTTCCTGTGACAAAGAAGGAAGTAAAAAAAAAAATGTTGGAGCCCTGTGTGGACTTCCATGTGGCATGAGCTTTGTTCAGTAAACGGCTACGTATGCAGTGATGTATAGAGTAGCTCTGTCTTCGCTCCTTGCTGATGAAAAAGCAACCGGTTCTTTGGAGGTGCCACATTTGAGCCAGCTAAGCACCGGCCCTAGCACCGCCACAGAACTTGCACCTGGTTCTTTTTGGTGGAAAAGGGATAATAGTGTGCGCATTTAGCGCACAACTTCTAGGAATTTTAACCTGATTCGCACGACTATACACTGTATTATAGCATTATTGCACAGTGAATCTTCGGCCTCTAATAATTGTATTTTTGGCTCAGTCTTGTATATTCCATTCTATTTCTTTCCAGATTTTGTTTAGTCTTTTTGAAACATTTTCTTCAATTTTCTGTGTAATTTAGCCTTTAATAAAAAATGTAAATTAAAATGGCCATCAGTATTTCAGCTGGTGGACTTGATGTCAAATGAAAAGCAGTCTGAAAACTTGTTGAAGCAACAGATGGCAAAGTAGATAATTATTTATACGGTTATCTGCTTTTTTATACCTCAGTCAGGTGCAGCTACATGTCTAAGATTTGATTCTGTTTTGAGATAGCAGGGTTTTATTCTAGATGAGGAATTTTTGGTGCCTCCAAAAGAGGTTTTAAACACAGCGCCAAAATGATTAGAAATTAAAGGTTTCATTTGTTATGATTTTTTCTTATAAATGGGTTTTATTATTCAGCACAATAAACATTTTTGTTTACGAAATGTGTAGAATTCAGTCAGATAAGATAGCACAGATTCATGATCTTTACTGTATGTGAGTCGATCATGCTCACAGTCATTAGTAGTCACCAACCAAAGGTCCATCCTGAGGCATAAAAAACCCACAGTGGTTTTAGCTCTCCTCGTCACAATGGTCTCCTGTCACATTTTTGCTTGCTGTAGACTCATTTTTTACTGCAATATAAAGTCCTGCACCTCAGTGGAAACAGCACAACTATAGCTAGAAGTAGAGAACTCAGACACATCGTTTGTGCAGTAGGACACAGTTAGAATACCCGTTACACACACAGTTATGGTGCAAACACTTCATTTTTGGCTTAATTTTTTAATTTGACTTGCAGAATAAAAAGATTTTAAATAAATAAGCTTGAATTTGTTCAGTTTTTCGGACTGAACTGTACAACCCAAATGATTAGTTCAAGGTTAGAAAGGTGAAAATCTGCCATTTTTTTTCTTGTGTTTATAGTTTCTTGCTGATAAATGATGTCATTTTAGGATTTTTTGAAAATAACATTCTTTTCAACCCGGATTTTTGCAAAGGTTGAAAACTGACACAAATTGGAAAAGATCTTTGATTTAGTTAAATTTAAATGTTTTCATAATCAGATATGCCGTGAACATTATTTGTGCTGCAAAAGGAATGTTAGAATGATGTTTAAGTAACTTGTCAGGATCAAGTAAACTTCCTGGAAATGAAAGCATCAAAATCATATTCAGTAAGAAAACGCAATTATGTGCTTGTGTGGTCAGGAGTACAACCAGAACAGCATCTTCAGCCAGGCCTACGGTAAAAACCTGCCACCCAGCTCCAAGCCCGATGTTCCCATGATGCACCAGGAGCCATCGCTCTACTCACTGTTCGAAGGAACTCCATGGTCGCCCTCTCTCCCTGCCAGCTCAGGTATGTCACACCTGCACAGACGTAAAGGGAATAGATTTAGAATCTGCCCCATGAAACAAGACTGATGTAAGCTGTGCTCTTAATTGGCAGACCACTCCACCCCGGCCAGCCAATCCCCTCACTCCTCCAATCCCAGCAGCCTGCCATCCTCCCCGCCAACGCACAACCACGGAGCCATGCCCTTCTCGAACTTTGGGCCTATTGGGACTCCAGACAGCCGAGACCGCCGGGTGGTGGACCGCTGGAAGGCCGACAAGACAGGTGAGCCCAGGACAAGATATGAACCTTCTAGAGTCTGAGCCATGTTTTTCCTTTTAGTGCGGACTCAGCTCTGTTGCTCCACAAATATGTGTATCAATTCACTACTTTACATCACAGACAAGTTACTGATATAGTTTAGAAAACATTAACTTTTTAGATAGGAAGTGATATCACAGGATCTTGCAAAAAGTTATGAAGTCAAGAAACCAAAGGAAATGTGACTTTCTCAGCTATTCATTCAATTTGCAAATCAAAATTATGATATGAAGCAGGTAGCAAAGGCTGCATTTTAAAACAGTGTGACTTTCATGTATATTTTTGTAGGGTCATAACTTCAGTTTAAAATTGCTAAATTCCACAGTTATCTCCATAATTATCAAACACTGTGGGGTCTTAGCTTTTAAATTAGTTAGGTTGACCTCCAAAATTACTAGTCCTGTAGAGTCTCAGCCTCACTGTGTATTAGGGTTGAACAAAATAGTACGCTGCATCATTTTTTGTAGCATTTAAGTCCTTAATATGTAAACTTCTTAGATAAATTCACATTATAAGTAACACTAAAGGATTTTAACCCCAACATTTAAACTTGTTAGGTTAATTCATACCACAATTTGTTTTCATTGTTTATTTATTTATTTTGCCAGAAAGCACTTTTGCATCACAGCAGTTATTTTAAATGTGCTTATTAATTACTAATGACTTGACTTTTTTGTGGTCACCATCCAAACAACAACTGAGCTGTTATGATGCACATTTGCAAAAATCTGTTTACAACCTGGGAACACACAGACAAAAACTTAAACTTTAGAATGTATAAAACTATTTAGTTAAAAACTCTCATTACCCATGCAGAGCAGTGATTCTGCTTCTAGATCTTGATGTTTGGTCCTTGTGTCTTTTAGGAGCAGTCAGCGGCTTCGGTTTGGACTACCTGCCGGCTGCAGCCTCCTCTGCAACTTCGGACACCAGCTGGCACCAGGCTGGATCAACCGGCAGCTCCTGGACCAATCAGGAGTCTCCAATGGAGGAGTCGTCCTCCACTGTGCTGCTCGACAGCCTCAAGGTCCGCTAACGTCACCGCAGGCTTTTAATTTGCAACCCAGTTTTGATTTTGTTTGTTACGCAACACACAGGCAGCGGTTAATGTGTGACACCTGTGAGGTCTATACAAAATATTGAATAGTTTGACTTTCTGGAATTAAAATTGCATATATTATCATCATTTTAACTAGTTTTAGTTGCAATGTTTTTATTCCAGTTATCTATGTCTACATTCTGACCAGTCAAAATTATAGTTAGATATTTCTGTAATTCAGTTTGGATTAGTCAGAATAACATCTGCAGATATTTTAAACACCATTATGACATAACTGAATAATTGTGGGTGACGTTTGCTGCTTATGCGAGGCTGCCTGCTGCCTATTGTTGTATTATGTTTACAAGCCACCTCCTACTTGCCGCAGCTTTTGGCATAACCCCAGATATCGGCAACGTCATTTCACCAAGTCAAAACTCTAATTCATGATACCTGAATTACATTTTAATGAGATAAATTTCCAGTTTGATCTGGTATAGCAAGCATTTTTTAACATATAGCACGGGTTGGTTTTGCCTATATCCAGAATATACTCCCAATAGTAAAAGTGCTGTCATTTTTTGTAGAATGGATTTTTTAAAATGTTACAACAGTCTGCCATGTTCTGACCATTTCAACCATTTCTGCTTCAGATATCACAATTTACTTTGCTAATATCTGCAGTTAAATTGTTGATATCTGTAGTAAAAAAAATCTTCTTATTGTATACATCTGGCAGCACTGAGGCAAAATTTACTGATTTAGTCATACAGATTTTTAGATAAATGTTTCTCTGTATCACGTGATCCCGGAGGGCTGCACTACAAATCAAGTTCTTTGCTTAAGACAGCTCGACAAAAACTAAAACTCCAGTCAGAGCAACAGGTATTGTTGTGGTTTTCAGCTTTCTTTTTTAACTCAGCCTTTCTGCTTTAATCTCTGTACACGTTCACATAAAGAAGGCGTTTAATGCGTCATGTGACTCTTCTTCTGCACAAAACGAAACGAGTGTGTGGCACCTACTTTAGTTAACAGGTTGTTTTAATGGAGAACAACCAAAAATGAAAAAAAATGATGATGTTAAAAAGCGCTGCTACTGCAAACGATGCAAAACAAGGATGCTGGTATAAAACTGGTAAATATGTATTAATGTATTTGTTTTACTGATCGATGCAGCCACTTATTTCTGACAGCTGCACATTAGAGTTAAACTGTAGACGTCAAATATTTAAATGCAATATTGTATTGAAGTGTATTCAGGCCTGACACTATTCTATAATGAAGGGCATTACTACAAATCCAAGTGAAATGAATGTTACTGATTAAATATTCTCAGTAACAAATACCAGTAGAATAATAATTTTCTAATCAGCTGCAGTACCAACTGTGTAAAACAGACTTGGCAGCAAATCAGGACCAAACGCAAAAGCATTTTTATATGATTTATGCATCCCCAGATAAATATATGTAACATTCCATGGCAACATGATGCATACAGTGTGTGATACTATAACTACATGACTTCATTCAGTGGTTTTAGATAAAACACATTCCCTCAGCTGAGAATCTGTTTGCTCCTAAGGAATCGACAGGAAACAATTTGTTTAAAGTAAGCTTCTTGCAGCCAATTTAATTTGAAACTGAAACAGAAACAGAACCTGCTCTAGACCAGCTCCACAGCATCAGTTACCATGGTGATCTAGCATGTTAAAAGAGAGCCACCTTAGTGAGACTAAAAACTCTGACTTCCGGCTCGACATACTGGCTAACCCACTAATCTTGTTTCGTAGTACAGCCCTCTGGACTCTTTCTCCTTGTTAATAGCTTCATGTTAACACTCTGCTGTCCTCTGCAGTCGATCTGGTCGAGCTCCATGATGCAGCCGGGCCCTTCGGCACTGGAGCAGCTCCTCCTGCAGCAGAAACAGAAGCAGCAGCGAGGTCACGGCGCCATGAACCCGCCTCACTGAACGTGCAGCCCGAGGCGGCGCTTTGTGTCCGGACGTCAACAAACCACCACCAGGAGAAAACGGAGGGGAAAAAAAACAGAAGTTTGACCGAAGACGAGCTCCAACTAAAATGGGATATTAAACCGGCGAGAAACGGTGGAGGCTGGGGAGGCGACACGACCCCCCGACGAGGCTGAATCACCACCCCCACCCCCCTCGGCTGTCGAGGAGCGGTGATGCACCTCCTGGATCGGAGGGCGCGGCAGGATCTCTTCAACCGCGGTGCCACGCGCCACGCTGCCGCCGGGTTTCCTTCAACCCGCGGAAATCTGAACATTGAGGAACACACCTCCCTCTCACCACCACTGAACCCCCCTTGGTTTTGGACAGACGCCACGTCTCCACATCTCCTCTCTCATTCAGAAGAACTCCTCCTTTCTTTGGAACATGAAAAAAAATTTTAAAAAATAGAAATAAACCAATGACCTCCTCGACGTCTGCTGGGTTCTGACGGGGCGCCGGTTTTTAGCGTCTCCGCTGCCGCAGACTGAAGCGGGGCTGAGAGCGAGGACAGTGTGGCAGTTGTGTTCAGGGGGGGAGGTCAGGTGAAGCACCGGGGGTCAAAATAACAGACTGGACTTTCTGATCTCTCCATTCATTTTCATTACTGTGGAGGAAGAGGAGGAGGAGGAGGAGGAAGGCTCTCTGTAGCTGAGTGGTTGAAAGAAGTGAAGGAGGAAGGTTTGGGTTACAGCTATATAAATATATACATACATATATATTGCCATAGTTGGACTTTAAACGGGCCTTGTCTCTTAGCCGAGTTGTGAAAACCAGGAGTGGACGCTGCTTTGTGAAGCCGGGCGTGACGCCAGGCTGACCGCTCGCTTGCTCGTTGTCCAGCCTTTTATTTTGAAGGAAGAACCTCGAGGCCTGACGATGGCATGGCTTCATGATGCCGGCGAACGTCACGGGAAAGAAGTGCAAAAGGAAGATGGGGGAAGGGGCTAAGAACAAAAAAAAAAACCTGTCGATCTTAGGGATAGTATTACTGTTAGCTTCAAGAGATTGCAGATATAAAAAACAAAAACAAAACAAAAAAGAAACTGTATTTTGTGATTTGTTCGTAGCAGTTTTAGCTTTACGCCCTCTGAGGTGAATACAGGTATGTCTATTAGCTTCCTGCTTGAATATTTTTGGGGTTCTCTTCCTCTCTTCTTCCTGTTATTTCTTTAATTAATGAAGAAAAAACTAAAGATGTGCCCCTGCTTGCTTACTTAACCTGCATTGACTGTTTCTTTTTGTTCATGTTCTGCCTTTTTACTAGTTTTAAGCAGCTCTGTCGGCTCCTCTGTGCCTGCTCCCTGTCCTGTTACCGCTGACTGCTGTAAAGGTGGGCATGAGGCCACAGACAGACAGACAGATGGACAGACAGACAGACAGACAGAAAGGTAGACAGGTAGGCTTGTACAGGTAGTTGGCTCAGCCTGAATGTTCTTCATTTCCTATTCTTCAGTAAGCACTACTGCAGCTCAACCCTGTACAGCAGATTTTTTTTATGAATGGTAAACCTGCAGCTTTGACTTTATTTATTCTGTAACTAAAGCTCCTTTTTCAGCCTAAAAGTCAAAAGGATGACGAGCTCAGACCTCTTTATGTGCAGTGACTTTTGCATTTTCCCCCCACCTCGAAAAAACAAAATTCCTGATACGTCTTTTGTTTGGGTTTAAATTGTAAAACACACCTGTTAGAGAATCCCAGACCCAAATGATAGTTGCCCTTTGTGATTCTTATGTTTTTTTTTTTTCATGTCAATCAATTAACCCTCTGAACTCCAAGAAGTTTCTGGACATTTTTTGCTGTCTTATTTTTCCTCACTGTGGGTTTTTTTTTTTTTTTTACTGCAATATAAAGTCCTGCACCTCTATGGAAACAGCACAACCATGACTAGAAGAAGAGAGAGCTCAGAAATGTCTGCTGTGCAGTTAGAACACAGTTAACCAGAAAAAAGAAATGTATATCTTTGTTTGTTTTACAAAAATGGACAAAACCTGGAATCAACATGTCCAACATTTGTGTTCCAAGTGCCCACAGTTATTACTGGGAAAATGATGATTCTACACACTGTAGATATTTTACTTTTTACATTTTTAATTTGTTTCCACACTTACCTCTCTGTTCTGCTGTTGCTCTCAGGGGGACAGAATGGGGTGCAGATGCTTTATTTTTGGGGAATTTTTAAATTACACTTAAAATAAAGGGATTTTGAAATATCACAATTTTAAGATTCGATTTGGTTCGGTTTTCCAACAGAACGGCACGTCACAAATGATAATTCAGAGACTGTTGAAAGATTGAAAATTTGATGATTATGGTAGTGATGGTGTCACTGTCTTTTTGTTATTTTCCTTTTTAAACCCATCGAGTCGGTTTTTGGATTAAGAGGGTTAAATTGCTTTTTAAAAAAAAGTCAAATTCAGACAGACACTTCTATTTGTTTTTCAGTTTTCATTTAGGTACTCAATTTTCCATTTTCAAATTGTCTGAAAGATTGATATTAATCAATTATCAGTAGTTTCAGCTTAGTTTTCTGTTATTCGAGTAATCAAGTTAATTGAGTAGTCAGTCAATCAACTAATGGGTCCAGCTCTGTGTTGTGCCTTGTAATTCACAACAGTGCAACCGTTCAAGTAACCATCCTTGTTTATTATTTAGTCTGTAGATTAATTTCTAAAATTTCTGTCATCCTTTTGCTTATTTTGTCTGACCACATCTTTAAAATCCAAAGATGGTCAGCTTACTGTCATATAAATCAAGGAAAAGTAGAAAATATTCCCAAAGGAGAGACAAGAATTGAGGAAATGTCGACTTTTTCCAAGAGAGCTCATCTGATTTTTAACATTTTTTTGGTCCTTTTTTTCCTGCTTTAGTATTTAACTGCAACATTTGACCCTTATGGTCCAGCATGAAGTAATTTTTTAGGTCAAACAACTGCGAGTAAAATTACTGAGTTCCTAAAGACATTGCTGTCATAGAAACGGGTTGTAAGAGTGACGTTGAGTTGGGTTTTGGGACTTTTATTTCTGCGGTCACAGCCCAGCAGAGCATTTATATGTCGTCAGTCACTTTAGAGTCAATCAGAGAAGCAACTGACCAATCAGGACCCTCTGTGGCTCTGGCCCCCCCTTTAGGCTTCAGACTGCAGCACTGTAAGTAACTTACTGTCCAGTTTAAACCAGCAGAAAGCTGTTTTCTATCTTAAAAAGTAACACACACTCATCTTTCAGTTCTGTGGGAGGAAAAAATAAAAGCCTGTTTTTTATTTTCCCGGCAGGCATTTTATTAGAAGCAGACTTCAGAGAGACGTGTCTATTTTCTGTGTGATTGTGCTTTTCATGTTGCATTTACAAAATGTATTTGAAAAATAATAAAGATGAAATATTCTTGAATGTGAGGACAAATTTGGCCAGAAGCATCGAGGAGCGAAATCCTGTTCACATTCGAAGCTCACCACATAGATCTGAGCCAGACTGGTTCTGCTGGTTTTTGTTGTGAAGTAAGAACTAAATGGACTCAGATCTGTCGATGACATTCCACTCTGTAGTGTTTCAGGGCGGCTAGAGCTCTGACAGCAGATTTGTGGACATGTCAGTTCAGATCTGAGCTTTGACTTTGAGGCTATTTGTGTTTCTGTCTCTCTGTAGACTTTGAGAACTGGTGGAATCAGCCTTTAAATAAACTATGTTCTCCCTTAATGCTGTGTCCGCTTTTATTCACTGTCCTTTTTTTAAAGGATAGTTTGTAGTTAGCGGTGGAAGAAGTTTTGAGATCCCGCGCTTCAAAAAGGTTATGATGCTTCCTCCCAGAATGTAGACAGTACCCAACAAACTACACCAATCACACGCTGCAGAACCTCTTTGAGAATGTGTGATAATCCACAACACGCACCAGAGACAGATTCTACCTTGTGTTGACAGGAGGCCTTTTATTGTGGAAGGTCATCAGTCAGAGCTCTGCCAATGTCGACCAGAGTCCATTACCAGCCAAGTTAGCGTGAATTATTGATAGTCTTTAGCTCTATAGGCAGGTATGAATTAAGATGACTGGTAAAGTTAGGAACAGAGAGAAATAACACCTTTCAACATAGTTTTGCTTTGTCTATAAATCAATATAATGTACAAACATGGACAAAAGTGTTGGTGCCCTTCCGTTAAGGAAAGAAAAACCCACAATGGTCACTAAAATAACTTAAAACTTACAAAGGTAATAATAAATATTAATGTAATGGAAATTAGACATTGCTTTTGAATTGTGGTTCAACAGAATCCTTTAAAAAACAAACTCATGAAACTGGCCTGGACAAAAATGATGGTACCCTTGAAAACATTGAAAATAATTTGGCCAGAGGGACATGTTTGACTAAGGTGTGTCCTGTAATTAGCATCACAGGTGTCTTCAAACTCGTAATCCATCAGTCTGGCTATTTAAAGGATGAAAAGCAGTCACTGTGGTGTTTGGCGTCATGGTGTGGACCACCTGAACATGGACCACAGAAAGCTAAGGAGAGAGTTGTCTCAGGAGATTAGAAAGAAAATTATAGACAAGCAGATTAAAGGTAAAGGCTGTAACACCATCTCCAAGCAGCTTGACTTTCCTGTGACTACACTTGCACATACTCAGAAGTTTAAGGTCCACAGGACTGTAGTCAACCTCCCTGGATGTGGCCGCAAGAGGAAAATTGATGACAAATTGAAGAAATAGATAATACGAATGGTACCCAAAGAGCCCAGAACAATTTCCAAAGAGACTAGAGGTGAAGCCCAAGATCAAGGTACAACAGTTTCATATTGCACTATTTAATTGAATTCAATTCAATTCAATTCTATTTGTACAGCGCATATTTACAACAACAAGTCATCTCATAGCGCTTAACAAAGGCAGAAACACCCAACAATCCAAAACATTTGGATTCCTTATAAGCTTCAGCAGTCCGCAACAGTGGGAAGGAACCGAAAACCCCCACGGGGGAAAAAAAACCTCCAACAGAACCAGGCTCAGGGAGGGACGGCCATCTGCCTCGACCGGTTGGGTGGGTGTAGGATGACATTCGTCGCTGCTTAAACCAAAGTGGACTTAATGGAAGACAACCGAGGAGGACACTGCTGTTGAACACAAATCATAAAAAAGCGAGACTGAAATTTGCCAAAATGCAAATTGACAAGCCACAAAACTTCTGAGAGAATTTCCATTGGACAGATGAGACAAAACTGGAGCTTTTTAGCGAGTCACATCAGCTCTATGTTCACAGACGCGAAAATGAAGCATACAAAGAAAAAACACTGAATCTACTGTGAAACATGGAGGAGGCTCGGTCATGCTCGAGGGCTGCTTTGCTGCACCTGGCACAGGGTGTCTTGAATCTCTGTAGGGCACAATGAAGTCTTAAGACTATCAAGGCATTAAAGAGTAAAATGTGCTGCCTAGTGCCAGAAAGCTTGTCCTTAGTCACAGATCATGGGTCTTGCAACAGGATAATGACCCAAAACGCACAGTTAAAAACACCCAAGAATGGCTACGAACAAAACATTGGACTATTCTGAAGTGACCGTACATGAGCCCTGATCTTAATCCTATTGAACATCTGTGGAAGGAGCTGAAAAAAATGCAGTCTGGAGAAGGCACCCTTCAGACCTGAGACACCTGGAGCAGTTTGCTCACGAGGAGTGGGCCAGAATACCGTTCGACAGGAAGTCTTATCAAGAGTTACAGAAATCAATTGATTGCAATGATTGCCTCAAAAGGTTGTGCAACAAAACATTAGTTAAGGGTACCATCATTTTTGTCCAGGCTGGTTTCATTCATTTGCTTTTTAAAATGATTCTGTTGAACCGCAATTCAAAGGCAATGTCTGATTTTCATTGCTTAATTTGCAGTAAGTTTTTATTTACTATTACTTTGGTCAATTTCAGGTTATTTCAGTTACCATTCTGGGTTTTTCTTTCTTTAACAGAAGTGTACCAAACATTTTGTCCGCGTGTGTATGGACATGAAAATGCATTTCATTGGATGGAAACTTCACCACAGCCACAAGAGAGCTGTTGATCAGAGGCTATCAGTTTTTACTGTCCAGTTTTATAGAATAAGTGCATGAAGCATTACAGCCACTAAAACAGGACCAATGATACATGGAGAGAAATTAGTGAGGAGGTTTTTCTGTAACACATGAAGCCAGTTTGGTGAAATATAACCACTACAGTATGTGTGCTCTCTGTATGTTATTC